TGATTTGTCTGAGTACCTGAGATACAGTAACTAATCACTGATGGTTTTCTTTGCAAATAATAAAATAGATTTATATGCCCTCCCTGTAGGAACAAGAATTCCATCACCTCCTCCTGAATTTCTGAGCTATCGAATATTTGATGCGTGCTTAGGGAATCGGTATTGTGTCTTTTCACAGCAGTAATCAAGGAATGAAGTATTCTCTGCTGTAATGAATCTACCGCAGGCCCAAAAGATGAATATTTCAAATGCAAAAGCAATATGTTTGTTTTGAACACATTTAAGTTTGGCTTTAATAAAGCAAGTAGTGAAGTGTGCAATGAATTATATTGTTAGATGGTTAAAACAGAGCCATGCAATATGTCTGAATGCATTTAATCCAAGTAACTACTCATTTTAAATGCAACTTGCAAATATGTATTACAAGTATATATATGAACAGATGACTCGGGAACCAGTGAGAGATCTGGGCCTTCCCTTCCACTCCTGGCTTGCTTCAAAACCGGCTCAGCCTGACAATTAACCAAGGCCCGGAGCCAGAATATCATTAAGTACAAGTTGAACCTTATGCGGGCTGAAATTAAGCACGTGCACCAACTGTTCCAGTTAGGATCATTTAAATCGAGACTGAAGTGCCCTGCTGGACTGGGACCTGCTCCGTGTTTCAGCAGATCGGTGGGTCTCAATGCGCAGCCACAGGCAACTTTTAAGAGGTCCACAAAACAGTGAACCCCTGCAGACGGGTCCCGTCACTGCAGTGTTACTGTTTCTGCAAATCCAGAAGCCTTTACTGCAGACCAGGAGGATGCTGTTGGCGGGAGGTAACGGATATGTGAAGTTAAACATCTTTCACTAGCATTTTGAGAAACACCAAGTAGCCCCAATACTGGCAAAAATGGTCCTATTTTTTCTCCTGAAAAACTTGTCAGGAGGCAACGAGAAATCATTGGCATTATCTCGTTTGTCTCCAGATTTGGATTTTTGCTAAAATAACAAGTGAGTTCTCTTTAACAACAAAAATCCAAGAGCTTTTTGACTTACACTGCTGCTTGATACTCTGATCCCCTCTCCCTCTTGAAACATACCGACTTTTTTCCACAGACATTCCCACTTTAAGAAAAAAGCCGGTTTTCCCACTGATTCCCCCACCCTCAATGGGCTTTAATAACCATTATACTTGACACCAGCAGGCTGGAGTTCCCTTGTCCCCTTTTCAGCTCATTCCAGCTGAATAGCTTTTAAAATAATTTGAACTAAAAAGATCAGAGGTTCCTAAATCACTTTGCTCCTCTATTAAACTCACTGAGCCTCAGTGAGGATGAGAGAGGATCTTGAAGGAAACATCACAGCATGATGCAAGGTTTTGTTTGTTTGCTGTTTGGTTTTTGCACAGTGAAGCACCTCATTCTGCCCCAAATACACAGCTACAGAACAAAAGTCTGCAGCAGTTTTCAGCAGAACCAAATCATTTGTCGCTTTGTTATTTGCTGCACTCCCCGGTATGTACAATAGTCCCCAGCACGATGCCTGAAGTGATGCTACAGTCAGAAAAGGGACCAAGTATTATGGGACCCTTTTCCTCAACATACCTGTTCACTGTACAACTTGTACTCCAAAGCAAAAACCAGCTTCCAGAGCCCAGTTAGAGCCTTCAGGCCAGCTCATCTCATTTGCAAATTGAGAATACCTGCTATAGAGTCCCCACAGTGCTATTTTATGCGAGAACCTCTAAGTGTCTATCCACAATGAAATACAGAGATGAGCAATTATAGCAGTTTGTATATGCAAGAATTATTTCCTGATTTTAACTAGCAATTTTTTTTTATTTGTCAGGTCAACTGACCTGCAGCATGCAAACAGAATTTATCAACAGAGTTTACAATGAAAGCAATGAGAAAAGCATAGATTTAATTAGCAATTACAACAAAGTTCCAAGTGCTTCAATTATCCAAGTTCAGAACCAATGTACTTTACCTGGAAATTGCCCCTGAAACAGTGAATTCAATGAGGAAAACTCTTATATAGTCCAAGTTAAATTATTTAAAAAGGAGGAAAGAGGGTTCTTAATTATTTAATGTTTCACCAATAATTATATAGTTCAGTATAATATTCACTCACTGGAGAACCTGATTTTCAAAGGAACATTTGTGAACATCAGTCAAACAAAAAACACCTGCCAGACTATAAACTCACTCAGAGCAGTACACATTCATTCCAACACAGCATTAACGCATTAGCAAAAATCCAAGTAATAATTTCTGTGTTAAAATATTTACATAGAAAAGCACGCACAATTCAGTTTTCTAATGTGTTTGTAAAAAACAGTATGACCTGTATTGCTACAATTTTTTAAAGCTGTGTTCTAGATAAATGAGTTAGAGACGGGACTACAGCTCTGGAAAATAGCATGCTACAAAATTAGTACTTGAATAGTCAAAGCTGCCAATCAAAACGTGGCCATGGACATCTTGGGGACATTTCATTCAAAAGTTACTAAGTTTTAAAAGACAGCTTTTAAATTAGTTGCATGAAATACTAGCCATGGTAAGCTTATCGAATGGGGCCCTGGGGAGCAAGGCTAAAGGAACAGCAAGTATTTCTGAACAAAACTGTTTTTCCAAGTCGTGGTTCACCAGCTCCAGCACACCATACACAGCTTAGGGAACTAAAACGGTGCCTTGGTCAAACACAGTACAGATCTGCAAAGGATTGTCACCATCAATTAATAACCCTATCTACCAAAGCTCAAGCTCTATGGGACAAACTCTAGAAAACTCTCATAATGGCCAAAATAGAGCTTGCCACACTGAAGTCCTTAGAGGTTACTTCTACGGGCCAGAATACAGCACATGCCCTTCCAGAATAGGGACTTTGGGCTTTACAAATCTTCCTTGGCAGCCTTCTGCCTTGGAGCAGAGCCACCCAGAAGGAAGACCTGATACACTCAGAAGTTTAACAGCATGCCACTGATTTATCATTTCAACCCAAAGGCAAAAAAAAAAAAAAAAAAAAAAAAGAAAACCATTTCCTTGCAGCTGCAAAACAGGTTGTCCCTGGGTCACTTTGCCAAAAAACTACCTTACCCCCACTCTCTGGAAGAGATCAGAGACTGTTTATTAGTAATGGCTTCAGATTTCATGGCTCCTGGAGCAGAGGAGCCCAGCTGCACCATCATCCAGACTTTACAGCCTAATGTCCTGTGGCCTGCAGGGCTAGAAATGATGAAAAGTATAGATTTCTGCTTCCCTGAGGGGACCGTGACACTCGATTGTGGTCTTAAAGAGCCTGAGGTCTCTTACAATCAAAGATGGCTTTTTAAACAGCATTACAGACTATTTTAGGTTATTTTTAGTGAGTTTAATGGTCCCTTGGAATCGTGCAAAGTGGGACTTGCAGTAAGTGCAGCACCTGGCTTTGCAGGTGGGGAATACAAAACACAGTCCCACTACAATTTTAAGATCCTCTAAAAACAGGGTTTATGGAATAAATGTCACATACAGACTAGGAAATAGTGCAACATGGGGCAGTGCTTCTCATGGCTTATGTGAAGCACATCAGGATAATTTAGCAATTAAATAAATTCCAGACAGACGATGCCACAACATGTACTGCACACCATGGCATAACACATGCTTCTCCTGACACGGCACATGCACATAATATGCAGCTCTTCACTGTGGTATAAATCAAGGAACAGTGCCTTTGGTTGTTCTGTTTCTAAACTTCTGTCTTGTAAGGCCAAATTCAATTTGCCCAATGCTTCCCACAGCACATCAAGATTAAGAAGTCTGGGGAATCATCCTGCTATGCCACTGTAAATTATCGCAGCTCCATCAACTTTACCCTAACATGAAACACCACAGAAGTGCTCAGAATTCAACAGTGATGAATTTAACATGCCTACTTCCACTAGCCTGATGTCAGCAGAGTTACAGCAATTTATGCAATACAGGGATCTGTCCTTTTCTCCTTATCAAAGCATTTGATCAAAATCAGTGACATGGAAGAAGACAACCTTACTTAATTTGAGCAGGAGAGTTAGGCTTGTCACTCGAACATCATAAGAAAAAGGGAGGTATTTACATATGGGTACTTGCATATTCTTTTTTATCCAGCTTCATAAAGGTAACAGTAAGATCATTTTCTTCCACAGTAAAAACTAGTGTGAAACCTCACAGAGGACCAGCATTTTCTCTTGCCTTTCCCTCTCTCCTCCCTTTTGAAAAAGCAACACTTTGAGATATTTCAAATCTTCATTAGCTGCTTCTCTGCCTGTGACAGCCTGGTGTTATGGAGTTGCTCTCCACAGCCCTCCATTCAATTCACCCTCGAGTCAGAAAGGAAAAACTCCGTTTCTGAAGCAACGTGACAAAAAGCCCACATTGCTGAGCACCACTGCCATGTGGCTTGACCTGCCAGCCATCGCGAGCAGCAGTCTTTACCCCACACCACAGTTCTCGAGCGTGTCGAACCAACAAATGAGCTAACCGAGCAGTCACGCTCTTGAGGATGCATTTTAAAAAAGGGATGCACAAATTCACTCATTCGGAAACTTGGTCTGTTTAAGAACTTGTTACTATGACAATTTAGAAGAAGCTGCTACAGATAAGATTGATGAAACTTATTGATTAATTTTCTCTCAAGCTATGTTTGAATTTTAAGTTTTCTCTAAACAGAACCAGTTCATGTTCATTTGTTAGTATTCCAGGGACCACAGCAATGTGCTTCAGTAGTGAAGGAAGTTCCGTGATAAATGTGTTCTCCAATCTGCATCTGTAAAGTAGCTATAAAATCAGAACAATTCATGCAAAATTTTTCATTATGTTCTTAAATATACTTATTTACATTTTAAATCACACATAGACAATATGAAATATCTTTCACTTAGACAGGTGGGAACAAGAAAACAGATGCACCCATTAAGCTTGAAACAATTCAATGAATTAAATAGTACTTGGTGAATGCTTTGCTTTATGGATATAGCCCTTGTTTAAACTTACTTGAAAAAACACGGCCATGGCTCCTACTACCCTGTTTTCTAGAACTGCTGTTCCAAAACTGTCAAAGTCATCAGGATTGTAGAAGTAAATCTGCATCTGTAAAAATTAAAAACAACAACAAAATCACATTAGTGTTGATTCATACAGCTTTCAAATGAGGTAATGCACACACGTTGTATGTAAACCCAGTGCTATGAACCTCAGATAAAGGAATTCTGCTGAACAATATTGTTTAACTAGCATCTTGATTAATAGCATGACTGCCCTACTGGGACAGTAACCAGGGAACAGAGTCAATGCAATGCATTTTAATACCAAACCCAAGGATAAACAGTATGGTCAGTCTGTTTAGATGGTAAACTTTGTGCTTTCTGCCAGATCTCTTCATTTCTTTGCTCATTGCAGGCTCAGCTCCTGCTCTGTTAAATGTGCTAAACATATTTATCTCAAAAACCATAGAGAATTTTTGAAAAGGATTTCAACATTTAGAGTTATTCCTTTACTCCTAAAGCAATTTGTAAGATAAAAGTCTGTCTCTGTAGCAATGCATTTTTATGAGCCTCTGATATTCAGGACTATCAGTTAGGGTCAGACTTCTCTGACTTCAGTTAAATTTCATGACTTTTATTTCCTAAGCCTTAGTACTCAGCAAAAAGTATGAGACAAAACCAGACATTTTGATGGTATTTTAGGATGATAAATATTAATAATTAGGCAAATCCAAAGTGAAAGCAGGTGAGAACAATGATTACCCCAAAATAGCAAATGTCTGAGTTACACAAATATAGGAGGACTGAGAAATAGCTTCCTTCATACACTCTCCACTGTTGAACAATTCCACTTCACTACACACACATGCCATGCATAAGGGCAACTCACAGGCCCGTGGGCGCTACTGCTCTTAATTTCCTGTATGGCTCTTGTTCCATTTACCACATTAGCTGATCTCCCACTTCTGCCAGCCGTCCTAACACACTGCTGCTTCTCCAGCAGTTGCTCAACCTCTCCATTCCCAAAGAAGCCCCTAGTGCTAGTCCATCTGCATCAGCCATGATTTGCTCCAAAGGATCAGGTTTACATCCAAAACATGCAATGCTCCCTTCTCAACATGACACCGTGCAGGTGTGTATATTTTCACAGAATAAATTCAGTATTGGTAACATTTGTTGTACGCGTGCTCTACGTGTTACAAATTAAAAACACGTGCCTGATGGTAACAGCCAAACCCAAGAACTGGACTTTGCAGCGGTTGCTCTTGGGGGCTGTTCAGGGATCTTCTGGGACAGATTTCACAATCCAAACCAGCGCTGGCGCATGCGTGGGGGCAACATTACTGCAGGATGGTTGGCCAACGCACACACTCACTCGTGCACATTGACTCCAGCAAAAAAATCTGTTCCTGGCTATGAGACAGGACTGGGACCCATCAGGCTTCTCAGCCCCTGGCCTCTTGCCTGAACCTGCACATTCGCTCCTGCTTCTCTGCTGCCCATCACCCATTATCTGACCTATTCAGGCTTTTCACAGCATTACTAGGTGATAAGAAATAGCCACATAGTACATAGTTAAATGGAGATGTAAGGTCTAGCTGAGACTGTCCATGCCTCCCGACACACTGCCGGTCTGACCATTGCTCCTGTCTGCAAGCAAATGCTCTGCTGGCACCAGTGATTTGTTTGGGACTGTTTGGGTTTTTCCAAGATTGTGCTGCATGACAAATCCTACTGTTTTCACAAATGCAAGTATTTTTCCCATATCCTGAAATTTTGTATATTGCCAGATGAGATGATACCCTTTTATCTTGCTCAGGTATGTTCCTACTCATATTTACTGATTCCCAGGCTTCTGACTGTACACATTCGCTGTAATGTATAATATTGGCAAAGTACCTATACATCCAATAAAACATCACCTTATAGAGAAAAGGCCAAGATCAAGATCAGTCTCTTCAGAGGTAGCGGTACTTTTTTCAGCAGGAGGATAAAATAAGACCACACTCCAAATGACTCACAAAAAAAGGAAAAATTGTCTGGCACTCACTCGAGCTTCATAAAATTTGAAAGTAATTTCCTTCCCCTATTTTGGCCTTCCTATTCCCAGTGTATTCACAGCACACAAAGAGACGCTGGTGATACCTCACAAAGTTGGTGGTGCCTCCAGGTTCTGCCATCTCATCCTTTCAACAAATGTAGACCAAGGTACAGCCATTCATTGATTTAGAAATTAGAGACAGTTTGTTTCAGGTAGAATTGCTTAAACTTCAATTTAGCCAGCACAGACAAAAGCTCACAAAACACTCACAAATTACATTTTACTCCCCTTTAAAATAAAGTCTAAAATTAGGTATACCTTATATAAAACACTTCACTATATAGTCCTCACAGGAGTTTATGAAGAAAAGTATCACTGAGTGAGTTCAGCATATGCCAAAATCATTTTGGATCAATTTTGCTCACGGCATTTTAAGGAAATTAATTTTTACAATACACTTTTGGATAGCAGTGCAAAGGGCTTTGGTAAAAAAGTGCTTAATTCAGATCCCTCGTCTCAGCAGTGCAGTTTCACAGACTAATCAAGAACCACACTCTGCCTTGATTACCATACACATTGAAACATTTTACCACTGCTCCCTGGTGTTTTTCCAGAGAGCGTGGTTCCTCTCTCTGCATCCATCAAGTCAAAGGGAACTGTCTTGTATGAAAAATTATCGTCATCTGTCATACAGTAGCTTCCTTATGTGTTCATACAGCTAGAAGGAACATTTTAGGAGTAGAATCTCCCAGGAATTGCTATTATATAATTTACACACGCGTACACTGCAAAAACAATGTTAAGAAGATGGTAAAGTTACATCCTCAAAGCTGCATGGTTCAGGCTGCTTATAAAACCACACCTGGACACCACTGAGCATTAGTAATATCACAATTTTCTAATTATGTGATCATATATTGTTCTCTTCCATAATACAGTCTCACCTGTTTTCCCCAATTTACAATAAAATGTGAATGTATCTAACGTTTTTTGTTCTTTTATACATAATATACATAATATTGAATGCATTTATCAGTAGATATTTAATTTAGTATTTTCTAAGGATGGCATAATATTCTTTATAGACAAATCGGGAATAAGACAGTTAACAATAAAATTAATTTCACCACATACTTAAGTGACCTAAACATGCTAGAAAATGTTCATTATTACTCTTTATTATATAATTAGTATATACAATATATGGTGCATTTTGCATATAAATGACTTCTACTGTCTCTGCATGGTACATACAAAGCAGTAGTACAGAATGCAACAAAGGGGCATTTAAGCTAAAGAAAATTTGGATCTTATTATAATACGCTATTTCTGAAATGCAGAAAGGAGCATCATCTAAGCTTGTACATCCAATCTGAATTGTGGCACTGCCTGATTTCAGCACCATAAACCATCATTTTCTTGTATATTTTTGCATGTGATTTCACAATGGCGTCTATTTTCCAAAATAATAAAAAAACCCAATAAATACTTTTTTAAAGGCTCTGAACCCCTTAGCAATGGGAAAGCCTGAAATACCCTTTGTAGTTTCTATAGCGTTGACACTAACTGTCTGCAGTCAGAATGCTCTGTTCCACACATCCCTGCTGATAGTGCTCCAAATAGCCTTCCCGGTGGTATAGGTCCCGGAGGGCATAAGAGTCCTGTTCTCTATGGCACAATATACTAGATTTATAAGTCTTCCACATCTAGCCCCATTACAACTAACAAGGTTGGGAAAGGCTTACACAGACTTCCTTAGTCTCAGATGTGCAACACAGCAGTATGCTTGCATGTACCTTGTAAAGACCTATTATAAAAAACATGTAGTGTCCAAGCAACTTGAAATTTTCAGTATTTTGATAAGGCTAAGCTGAAACAAACCATCCCTAGCGACGCAAAGCACTTTTCTTGCAGGAAGAATCTTTCCATCCTAAAATGCTACCAACAACTACTGCAGCTACAGAGCTTTACCAAGGCAGGGAGAGGGCAAGAGTTTGCTTTTAATGGAAAAACTTCATGCTTTGACACTCTTCACACTCTAAAAGAGTAGAATTGTTTTCACTCAAACTTGAGAGAGATTTGCTGTACAGCACAGATTAAGCCTGAAAAAATCTCACTGAAGGGGAAAACCTTCAGAATGTTACAAGTGCCTTAAAACAGAGGATTAGAGAGAAAACACTCACTCTGCCATAACCCAGGAGATAATTGCCAGTCACCCTATAAAACCATGTAATGTTTTCTAGTCTCTTCTGTCCAGGAAGATCCAGTGCCCAACCATTACAGTTTCCAAGCACTCCAGGCCTTTTTCCAGCTGACAACACTTACACAAATGAATACACCACATACATCCAACACCTGACTAATTCCCCAGCCTGGAGCATCTTTGCCTCCATGCTCCTACCAGCTACAACACCCCTCCACCATGCCCTGGGGCAGGCAAGCCCCTCCTCCTTGGGGTCAATCTACTTTCTGCAGAAACACCTTTCTGCAATCATGTTCTTCCAACCTCTACAGAAATCTAGTGTTCCCCAGACCTGGCAAAATATCAGGCCCTGCTCTGCACTTAAAAGATTTTGACTCAAAACTGGGCTGCCAGCACACTGATCTGGGGAGGACAGGCTGTCTAAAACGTGCATGTGTACTACTGAGAAATACTGCCCACCAGAGATCAGTTCTGATCTTCTTAACTACAATTGCCTCTGAATGACTAAACCCTCTTTATGAAATGCCACTGGCTTGCAAAAACTGAGCCTGCTTCAAATGAATGACTTCTCCCCACCACACATCCATAAATAAAAGGCTCCGGCTCTCTGCTCAGATGCTCCTCTGCTTGGCAAGACCGACATCCAGACAGAAATCACCATTCCTGTGCATGACATCTTTTTGCTCTTATTACCCCACTACAAAGACAGAAAGTTTACATCCAATACAATCATGGCTAAACTCATTCAGCACTTATGAGAGAAAAGCCACAATGAGCATTTGATAGATCCCAGAAGATGTGAGCGAGTTCAAAGCAATTCTAAGAGACTGGAAACCAAGCAAGTAAATTTTCCATAGACAGA